TCGATTTGTCTGCGGCAGGGTAGGATGGGATTGAGCCGTTGCAGGCCAGGAAGCCCTGCCCAGGTCGTAGCACTTAGTTGTTTTCACGTAGCATAATTAGTTGTTTGTGACATGAAAGGTTGGAGTGGCATTGTCGCTGTACACAAGTGAAAGTGTGTGCCGCGGCCACGTCCTCCTCCTGCTGTCGTCTCTTGTGGTTGAGTTCAGGATTGCAGCTTAAGGCTGCCTGCGAAACAAAACGTCATTGAGCCCCCACCCCACCCCACACCTCCCCCGCCCCAAAGAGCACGCAGAGCACATCACCGAAAACGGCACAGACAGAAAGAACACAGAAAGCGCAAAGCGCGGGATAGCAAGAAGCATGGTTTCAGGGAGTCAGGAATATAACACGCAGGCCACGTTTTTGGAGCTTCGGACGAAGTCGCAACCGAAAATGTACGACCAAAACTGACGTCAGTTTTAGTGCAAAACTTAAGAAAGCAGAAATGACACAGAAACCTGGGCTACGACTACGAAGAGCGCAACATGTGCAAGAAGGCGAAAACCTCGCGCAGGACGGTGTTTTGCAAGTGAGGAAAAGGCAGTGCTGAAGGCGAGGGGCATGCAAAGGCACATAAACAACAGCAAAAACCACCCCTGAAAGTGAACCCGCTAGGACCCGCTAGGATGTACATACGTAATGTGCATCTGTATGGGGCGATATACCTTGAATACAGCACGAACAGATAGGTCTAGTCGCAGTGTATTCTACTACCAGTACCCTCAGTTGGACGCTTTGCTCTCTTGCCATCTGAAACGCAAGCCGCAAGGCGGAACCTCTGAATCCGACCTCAAGCCCCAGACCCGATGCCCCAACGCATCAAAAGCAGTACTTGTATTGAAGGCTGGCAGAAGCGGTTGCGTGGCCACTGCAGCCGAGCATCTCGACCCCCACAGCAAGGATTGAAGGCATTCTGTGGCGACTCGTTTGGTTTCAGCAAGATGTGACAATCATCCGGTACCGCTTTGTTGGAAATTGGGGTTTCACGCAGTCTTCTCCGAGTTAAGGATGTAGGTAGCAGGTAGCCGTGGCTTGCGAGAACTTCCGAAGCCTGTCAGTGCGACTGACCCTACCTGAGCCCCCCCCCACACACACACACAGTCAATCACTTACTCATTCTGAAAGACTATTGGAGATCCGGGCTTGTTGCGCAGCGAACCCAGGCCCTGAGTATGTTCACTGCTTGATGTTTCATTGAGATGTATCCCTTTCCAGGTGTTCTCTGCCAAAACTTGTCGCATCCCGGCCGCACGTTTGAGAGTTGAAGCGTGCAGCATTGAGACGCCTTCACAAACGATTTTCAAACATTTTCGGAGCCGTTTGCGTTCTTGTCAGCCGATCCTGTGCACTGCTAGCCCCGCAGTCCGTCGCAAGGTTCTTGCAGCCATGAGTTTATGTAGCCGAAGTTTGGGGGATAATAGATGGTTTTGTCAAGACCCTTAGCGAAACCCGATCTGCTACTTCAACCAAAAAACGTTCAGAATCTAAACTTTAGATTATGAGAACACTTCGAGAAGTCCTGGCCGTGGCCTGTTTGTGCCGCGGGCTGGTGTCACGAAATTCGCCGTAGGGGTGAGTATCAAGGAAATGCAGCTGACCAAGGATTAGTGCCTGCGTGCGCGCCTCACATTGGAGGCACGCCCAAGTGCGGCTACAGGCCGGATTCTGCAGCCCGTAGAAACCCTAAGCACCGAAACCTAAACCACCTGAAGATCCAACCCTGAACCGAGCTCCGAAGGCTTTGTCGTTTTGGCCACTACCGGCTCCTTTCAACCCCGACCCAAAACAAAGAAAAGGCGGTTGGTTTATGGCCGTGGGCCTAGGGCTTAAGGGTTCTGAGCTCAGGATGGTTGTTTTCTGTGGTCCCCTATCGCGCCAGCGTTCCCCATGAATCCAATCACCCACCCTTCAGATGGTGTTGCTTCAAAACCGAAGCTCCAGCAACCCCCAAACAACACTTCCACATGCTCATTGTCATATAGTCTCATCATAGACAACGTCGGATAGTTTGAGGAAGGTGCCTCGTTGGAGTTCGGATGTGACATGCATGCTTACAGTTCGGTGAATTTCAGTTTACCTGAGATGCATAGTTCTGGAAGAGTGCAAGCATGTGCAAGCTTGTTGCCATGGCGCATCGCGCCGGCCGAAAGCTAGCTGCAAGCCTGAGACCGGGACCCTACGCTCCCGAAGCTGCATGAGGCTTTCGATCTCTGTGGCTCTGATGGGGACGAAGGTGGATGGTTTTGTGGAAGAGGTTGTTGGCCTGCACTGTCGTATCGCAATGCACACCTAGCGGCCTAGCCATCAAGCCTAGATTCGAGATGTACTTACCATGCGCCCCTGAAGACCCGAAGCCTGACGGCTTTTAGGTACTTTAGATGTTGCTGTTTCGGCCAACCTCAGCAAAGACCCCCTAAGCCCTCAAAGCCCTACAGCAGTACAGGACTGTTCGCATCAATAAGATACAGATAATGATACGATTCATGAGTAGCGAATATCACTAGGGTGACCGGCTTCTGATGGGGAAGTTGCCGCCACTCTGCCGTAACACTGACTGAGGCCCCGGGTGCAGAGGGCGTTTTTGCGTGATCAAAGGTACGCGAACCCTCTAAAGAAGCCTGTTTCCGAGAACAGCCTCATGTGTATCTGCAGGCTAGCCATTCATGCTCGGAAATATGGCCGTGCACACAAGCAATCAATATGTCTGTCTGTCTGTATGTATGTATGCTGTATGCGTGTGTATATCTAGTATGTGTGTGTGTGTGCGTATATATGTACAGTATTGTGTCTGTCTAGCTTTATATGTGTGTATATACCAATATATATATATACACATACACACTATGTACATAGGTGTAGTTACGTCATTACATACGTGCACGTCGTCAAGCAAATGTGTGTGTGTGTGCGGGCGGGCGGACGGGTGTGGGCGTGCGGGCGTGCCGGCGTGCGTGTGCTATGGGTATAGACATAGAAATATGTACCATGTGTGTACACAGTTTTGAGGTGGCTGTACATATACTTGGGGCTTCTACCGTCGGTACTCCTTGAGAGGCATTTCGCTTGCTGCGGCTGCCAGCTTCGCAGCGAGTGCCTTGGCTCTGGCATTCGCGACAAAGCAAACATCTTAAGTTGTGCCGGGTCGCCGATTCTACACTCCAGGCCTGTCGCTATGGCGCTGCACCCTCAACGTTCCTAACTTTCCAGCTGAGAGGTACGAGCACCGCAATCCCACAGCCTGATCCCCAAGATTCCCGAATGCCGAGTGCCAAAACCTGGCAAGCCCAGCGAAGTTCAAAGGAAAAGCGCCTTAGCCATCCCTGTATGAACAAGAAGCAGCTAAACGAGCAAGTGCACGGGTTTAGGGCCCAACATTCTGGCACAGCAGTGCCGATACTGAAGGGACAGGCACAAGCACTCAGTCAGTCGTTTGACCTGAAGGTCACACTGTGAGAATGTTTTTTCAGGCCCAGGTGTGTGCCAGACACATGCTTGGACCCGATGGTGAAGTAAAAACAGCCTTACGGTGCCGTTTCTCTTTGCAGGTGCCTCCTGGAAAGGCTTCGAAGGCCTGGAAGTGCTGGAGGTCTTGTGGACCAAAAGTGGTGTAGGCCTTAAACCCGACAGCAGACTTTCGCTGAGGGTCGAAACTCTGGACGGCTTTGGTAGGGTTCATTTCGGGATACAAGGTGACAGGGGGGTCGGGCTTGCGAGGTAGTGGTAGTTCAAACCAGAAGATTCTTGAGCTTATGGTTTATGGTTTGAGCTAAAACAGGGCTGGCTCAACATGTAGGAAGGTGGGGATGTCCACGTGCTTGCATTCATCAACTCCAAGTGTCAACGCGGGATAAGGATCGGACTTGGGTTCAGTGATATGACAGGGTAGGTACCACAGGCTACCAGGTGTGCTCTCGCAATTGGGTATGTGTGCAGTCCAATAGCTAGCAGCCCAATAAGACCCCGAGTTTTCATCTACGCACTTGCTCATTTGCCCACACCGCAAGGCAGCCCCAATCGGATGGTTTTCCACGCTGCAGTGACAGATGCTTGGTCGCGATTCGGCCGTTCCCGGGTGCTTCACGGCAACCGCTATGCCAGCTATGCGCTTGCGGCATTCGCTTGCAGCGTGCCTGTCCGGATTGCCGCGACATGCCTAGGCCCATGAGAAGAGCAGTGACTGGCAAATGGCCCTTCGATTGCTGCAGCAAGGTGCTGAGATAGATGTGGAGCCCGTCCTGCAAGAAGTTGAACCAACACACGCGCACACACACACACACTAAAAATGCCCCAAACTGAAACTCAGGACTGATGCAAGCAACTCGTATAAGGCTCTGACTGGGATGTTGGGGTCGCCGTCGTTTTGCTGTAGGAGCAGTGCGGCAGTTGTCCGGACTCACTGTTTCTAGAACTTCAATGTCCAATTAAACGGGTTTGGGCGTCGAGCGCCCTGTTGGAGATTGCATGGTGACACTGTTGCAATAAGCTCTCAGGTGAGCCAGTCACACGTTTTGCACGGCTGTAATATCCAGGTGCGGGATTGATATCTGCACGTGGTGTGGTCATAGCAGCCCCATGTAAACATGCGCTACTCATGCTTGGACCTCCTGAAGGAGTGTCTTGCCTCGAACCGCGAGCTCTCGATCAGGAAGCCAAAAGCCAAAGTGTGCCCAGGCTCCAGACGCTATTTTGCACCATTCTGCCATAGCAGCTTGCGCCCAAGCCCGTGAATGGCAGCAGGCGCGGGTTTCGGTGCCCGGAAACTCCTTACATAAGGCTTGAGGCCTGTATAGTGTTTACGGGATGATATATGGTCGAAATTTTGCCCTTGAGCCCCAATCTGATGAAATGATGTCCATAAGTGACGGGCTGCATCGAAGGAAATGCGAGCCTAAACCCCGGTCTGATCCCTTGAGGAGCGCGTACTGTAGCCGTTGGCGCTCAAACCCACGCTGTCTCAACAATGCCGGAGACATGGCGTCGGGTTCTTGCTTCCCTCACGGAAGAGCTGGAGCAAATGTCGGACACGCTTCGAGACATGAAGCGGGAGAATGACTGGCTGCGGGACCTGTGTGCCTTGCAGGGTACAGGCAGTGCTACGGGGCCTGTGCAGCCAGCACCTCCATCGACTGTGGCGCCACCATCGCCGCCGTCTATCGAGGCCAGGAAAGAGCCTATGTCTGCTTTGGCGAGTCGTTCAAGTTCGACAGGCGCGGGAGATGACACGGTCTCAACTTCAGCGAGTCGTCCATCGAAAAGCGCAGAGGAAAGTGACAGGGTGGAGGAGCTTCATCCGAACTACATCTCTGAGGAGTCATCCGATCCAGCAGTGCCCGTCTTTGAGAAATTGGTGCGTCGAGTACCGTCCGAGAAGATAACGGGATCCCAGTCCCGGTTCACCGAAGTGGTCGGCTTGAGCAAGAAGCTTGCTAATCCACGCATTGACTTCATGATCCTGCGGGCTCAGAAGACAAAGCAGTTTAAGATCGAAAAGCCTTGGTATATTATCAATCCAGACAACAGCTCCTGGTTCACGGTGTGGCAGGGCCTCATGTGCCTGGCACTGACATTTGTGGCTCTGATCACACCGGTACAAGTCGGCCTCATCGAGGAGTTCAGATTCGATGCGCTTGCCATGGCAAGTTTATGCGCGGACGGCATTTTTCTCGTGGATCTGTTTATGCAGTTTTGCACGACATACTCGAAGAAAACGGTGTGCGGGACGATCTGGGAAACGAGGGTTTCCGCAATCTCACAGCGGTACTTGAAGTCTTGGTTCGTCCTGGACGTCACGTCCCTGATTCCCTTTGACTTGATCGGCCTAACGATTGGTGGAAGCAGTGGCAGTGACTTTGGAGGACTCAAAAGTATCAAGGTGCTCCGAGTTCTAAGACTTCTGAAGCTGGCGAGGTTGCTCAAGACGTCGAAGCTCATGCATCGGCTGGAAATACCAGTGGCCATACCATACCAACATCTAGCATTGATCAGGTTCATGTTCGTGCTCATGATGGCCTGCCATTGGCTGGCCTGTTTATGGGCTATGACGTTGCAACTTGTCGATGCTGAGTTCCCGCGATGGATTAACGACATCGAAGCATCCGATCTGGAGTTTGGAATCGAGTCCTCGAGATCGCCTCTCCGAATCTACATTGCCGCATTCTACTTCTGCTCCTACACGATGACCTCTGTCGGCTACGGGGACATTGGCCCGAAGAACATCCTGGAGCGCTTGGTCTGCTGCGGGATCGTCCTGAGCGCTGGCCTGTGCTGGGCGTATGTCCTTGGTGAGGTGTGTGGTATCGTGGCAGACATGACCAGCGAGAGCCAAGACTTCCGCAAGAGGATGTGTCAGCTGAACTGTATGATGAAGGAGCAGGGGCTACCAGGCGAACTCAAAGCTCGGTTGAGAAGCTTCTTTCTGCAAAACCGGCACCAAAGTCAATTCCTCACGCAGCAGACTCTTCTTCAGGACATGAGCCCGCAGCTGCAATCGGAGGTCTCCACAGTGCTGAACTGGACTTGGATCCAGAAGGTGACCTTCTTCTCTCAGTTTCTGAAATTCCTGGAGCTGCAGGAGATGAGAGGTGTCCATGTGGCTCCTTACATGGCCTGCATCGCCGATATTGCGAAAGCATTGAAGGCTTCAGCCTTCGCACAGCGGGAATCCTTCGACAACGTCCAGGTCCTCTACATCCTGTCCAAGGGTCTGGTAGCTCTTGACAGCCGTGTTGCCTACAATGGGGCAGTTTGGGGAGAAGATTTCGTCCTCTCGGATACCAGCCTTATCCGCCCAGTCGCAGGTTATGCCCTTACCTACATCGAGGTGTTGTACCTCACCAGAGATGCCCTCATGGAGGTGATCGCAAGGCGGAAGGCAAGCTGTCCACAGCTCGGCCGCATCGTTCGACAGTACTGTGTGAGGGTCGCCGTTTTCCGAGGGATCCTGGCAGAAGCCAAGCGACGATCGAAGCTTTCGGCTGGCGAGTCACCGAACCCTGTCGGCGGCAGTGGCCCTCCGCAGAAGCACTTTTTGGGCCCAGCACCGAAGGCTTTTATGGAGCAGTCTCGGCCACGTACCTCCGCGCCGTTGGCGCAGGAGCGATCTCCCCGATCCTTCGGTTTCGGTTCCAGACCCGTCCAACAGGATGTTGTTGCGCCTGGCCCACCTCCGCGGGTGCGGTCGCCATGGCCGAAGCCTCCTTTGTGGGAGGTGTGTGAGGCTTTGGGGCTTTGCTCCAATGGGGTCGAGGTCCCGGAAGCCGTTTGGTCGACTTTTTGCCAGCTTGGCGGTGTCAGATCTGCTGCTGCTACTGCTTGTCGGTGATTTTTTTGAACAAGCAGTACTTGTGCAGGTAGTGCAAAGTGTAAAGCCGTTGATCGGATTTCGGCACGCGTGCCCCCCCCCGAATTCAATTTGCAGCGAAACGGCTTCGTTCGGACCGAGTCAAATTAGTATTCGCACAAGGTTCCCGTCCCCCGGGTTCTTGATTCAACGGCATGCTTGACAACATCCTTGATAATGCAGCAAGCACTTGCATGTTAAAGCATTGCAGGGCAGAGCTCAACATCAGGGATGGGGGCCTCCCTGTAGCTCTCGGTCACAAGGAAGAATTCTTCGCCTGAGGCGCTCGGGCAGACGGCCTGGGATCCGGACATTCTCGTGCCAGCATTCGCCTTTGGGGGCTTCACGATTAACGCGTCATACCATTCTGCAGTGTCAACGTCACAGCCCCTAGTTTTTCTGAAGCTCCCTTTTCGTGTTGGGGTGCATGGGCCTCTTGGTCGGCGAGGGTCTCGAACTCAACAACCGTGTGGTTGGTTGCCCAGCAGACTTCCTTGACACGATGCTGGCGGCGCACGAGAAACTGTTTGAATGTCGGCCGGCGCAGCCTGAACTGTTCGAAAACAGCCGACATAAATCTGCGTTGTTTTTGCAAACTTTAACATCGAAGCCAAGCTTCTTTGTTTGACCCGTCTGTGACGTTCTTTGCGGCGTGTGTTTTGTCACCTCCCGATCTCCGTCGCGACTTTCACGCGCCGGGTTAGTTTCTTGCATTTCAGACATGCGCCCATGCAAGTGTTTCTCTTGCCACTTTTAACTGTATCTCCTTTTACATTCACATGTTCCGAATTTAATTTTGTCTGTATTCAGCCCATATCCGCAGGGCAATGGCAATGGCAAGATCCCATGCCCCGGAGCAAGCACCGCAGATGGAAGCGCTGCACCAGTACGCATGGGATGCCTCGCCCAGCTCGAGGTTCGAAAATGCTGACCTGCAAGACTGAACACGAAGGTAATTTCCGGAACGGAGTACTTCTTAAATCCAAATCTGCGTGGGTTTACCTACGATGACATTGCACGTAGACTTTAACCTTTGTGGTCTGGCTAAAGTATTCAGTTTAACCTCACCAGGTCCAGTAAACACATGTTGTCGCCTGCAGAGTTCAAGTGTGAGTACAGAACGCTGTGGACATGCCTACGCAAATTCGCAATAATAGTCGGTCCTCCCCCATGTTTGTGGTGCTGTATCGCACCGGGACTTTGGAGGCCCTGGTTTTGTTTTCCTGACGTTGGCTCTTGTCTGGGGCCCTTGGTAGGGTCGGCCTAGGCCCCTGGTCCTTTGGTCTGGTGCCTAATCCTCTGGTCCCCTGGTCCTGCGGGTCCGCAACCCTCTCCGGTCTCGTTTTAGCCTTGCTGCGGGTCGCCCGGGTCGCGGGCCACAGGCTGCGGCCCGTGAAAAGTTGGGGGCGGGTTTAGCAAATGAGATCTATGATGAACCGGAATCGCCAAATGAGGGGGCGTGCCTAGGATTAAGATGAGGGCCGTGTTTAAGATATGTGATGAACTTCGGTCCCCACATGAGGGGTCGTGTTTAGGATATATGATGAACCTGAGTCGCCGCATAGGGAAGGGGGGTGTTTAAGATATATGATGAAGCGGAATCGCAACATGAGGGGGCGTGCTTCAGATGTATTATGATGAGCCGGAATCGCCACATGAAAAGGCGATTTTAAGATGTATGATGAACCGGAATCGCCAATTGAAGGGCATGTTTAAGATGTATGATGAACTGGAATCGACAAATGATTTGGTTTGTTTGAGATGTATGCTCAACATCGCCAGCAACAACAACACATTCTATCTGGAGTGTGTGTTAAGTAAGTGTGTGTGTGTGCACGGAATGCAAAGTACTTCCCCACAGCCATGCATCAAGACACCATCGACAATCCTTCATGCATAACAAGCTCCCTGTCAGTGTTTT